TTATCCAAAACTCTTGTGCTAAATGCTGGGATTACAAGAGTGAGCAGGATAGACAGTCTTATTTTCTCCAGAGCAGTCTGAAATATATGTAACTAGGCAAGTTGAAGGGAAAAAAACAAATGCCCCAAGAGAGTCAAATGTATATAAAGTTGCTTGAAGAATCAGATTTTTCTCAAGCAGTAATTTCAGAGATTTGGCCCAGTATTGTAAAGCTAAGGAAGCATTCATTAAAAGCTAGAAGCCTTAGTTACTGCTCTTTTCTTAATCCCATTAAGTCCAAGTTATATAATTTAAAAAAGTGGTCAAAGGTAATGAATTACGATGGGAATTATGGTAGGAAAAAAATAGTGCTGTGGGGGAACCTAATAGAAGCCAAGAAAGTGTTCTAGGAAGATGGAATAGGATATGGAATATGCCAGGAAAAGAATAAAGAAGCTATATTCTCTGAATTAAAGTTTTATAGAGCTATAATAGAAATGTTATACTAAAAATATATGCCCTTTAAAATCAATGCTAAATATTAAATATTAAGGAAATGCAAAGATTGATTAATAAAACTAAAGGACTTAAGTAGATAAACATTAAGTTGGAAAACTGTTATTGAGTCTGCCTTTGACAAAAACAGGGAGAGAAGACATTTTTGAAAAGATGAAAAAATTGAACAATGAAAATTATAATATAGTATTAGGAATATCACAACAATGGTTTATCCTGATATTTTTCTATAAACTCCAAATTTATTAGGATTACTATATGTCATTACTAGAAAATGTGTCTTCTCTTCATTCCCCACTCCTACCATTCCATACAAGAAAGTGCCACATGTGGTCCTAATGAATAAGTGATAGAGAAAAGATGAATCTACTTAGGAGACTCAAAGAATAAAGGTCTTAGAAAGAAGCACAGTAGAAATTGCCAAGTATATCGTCACATTGTAGAGACCAATGCTGCCAGTCAACACCACATTTATTTCAGAGCGGAGTCATTATTCTCTATTCCTTCTGCTCCAGCCTACCTCATGAGGAAAATATTATATTAGTAAACCTCAAAATCATCTGGAAAATAATATGTAAAAAATCTATAGCTGGTCAATAGTCTATTTACAACTCACCTTCAGACAAAAACTGGCAAAAACCTAAGTATTATGTGTCAAGTGTAGAAGCACTTAAGACATTATTGTTGAAGTCTTTCCTGTTAACCTTTAACCTCATGGTGTTTAGATAATAATTTATTCATTAAACTGCTAACTCCTTTTCCAGCAGGATTTGCCTATAAATTTTTAACTGGGGCCAAACCTCCAGATGTCTTCCTCCTCCAACTAGATTTTTACTATTTATTTTCCACACTCCTCACTTCTTGCTTCCCATAATCACTTAACATGTAACATAGTCCAGTCTGTATAGTCCCCAACTAAACATGATTATCATTCTGAAATTATTCTCTCCATATAAGCTCAGCACTCCTTAGTAGAACTGTAGAAATATTTCAAGTTCTGTACACAATGTATCCTAGGCTCATATTACCTTATTAGTATTTTTTCTTTCATTCTAATTACTGTGTTTTTCATATTTTTGAAGTAGAATAAAGTGGTCTATCAACATCCATCTAAAATTTTATTTTCTTTTATGTACAAATTCCCTAATGGCCTCACAAGATGAGTATTTCTTTCTGTAACCTCTAAGAGAAGCTCTAAGGAAGAACTCAAAGATCACTGAGTCACTCTCCCCTCTACAGTGGCTATTTGTTATTTAATTTACAGTCTAGTGTTGCGACCTGCCTTCAATTTTGCATTTTTTAAATGAACTCAATATACCTATATTCATAATGATAATAAAATAATCAACATGCGTGCTCACTATGTGCTGGGCAGTAACTCAGCAACTTAACACAACTCACTGTTTTTAATCTTCACAATTTTGTCTAATAGTGTGCCCAGGCATGTTCTGTCTACTGTCTAGCACATTTTATCATTTTTTATAATGTTGTGATTATTGTTATTGTTGTTAGTGTCTTGTGTTCATGTGAAACTAGTTCTCCACTTGATAATATAAAAATAATTTTATATGTATTTCTTGCATTCATATAAAAAGAATATTTTAAACACTTGTGACTGTTAAAGCAAAGGGTGTGTGTGTGTGTGTGTGTGTGAGTGTGTGTGTGTGTGTGTGTGTGAGAGAGAGAGAGATGTAGAGAAAATGAGAGCCAGAGCCAGGGTTTAATCTAGGTGTTAACCCTGGGGTCTTGGAAAAGTTCCCGTTTGAGTAATTGAATTTTTATTAACTCACTTCCTCTTGCAGGTATTTTCCATTTAATGCAGTACACTGTTCTGTATTATTTCTAGATGCAAGTTGTTGCTACATTTCTCCCTGCAGTGACTACATTTCATCAATGAATAAAGCCGTAACAGATAAATGAAATCATTTGATTTTGATATATGCACTTTGGGATCCTCTCTTATTTTAAAACAGACACTGGAAAAGAAAAGAAAGATGATAGTAATATACGTAGAGAAAATTGAGATATTTGAGCAATTCCTATTGTTTAAAAAACAGTCTTATTTTATTTTGGTATCATCCCCTAAATTCTGTAGATTTTTGTTCCAGAAAAGAGTGAAAATGAATAGATTCATTCTTTTATAGGCAATCCATTTAGACAGTCTGTGGAAAACAATAGAATGGACTTAAAAAATATAGTAGGAGATAGATATGGCTATTTGTTTTTTGTGCTCTGAATAATGGCCGGTGACAACACAGATGTTAAACACAAAATATTACAGGGATTAATTCATAGTGCTCTAGTTTTCATCCAAGGTCATGTGCAGTGCAAACAATAAGTTACAGCCAGGCAGTCTGTAGCAGCAATTAAGGACCACCTAGAGTGGGGGTGAAACTGAAGGTGGCTCTGGCCCTAGGGGGTCTGCAGTCACTTCAGTGTACCTCCTTGGAATGCCTGCTTGTTCATATAAATTAAACAAAAATGAATTTTCTCCCCTTTAGGGAACAAACAATCCATGCCTCAGATCCTGCAGCCTAAGCATTTCCTCCTTTAGAACTGCAACTGAATCTCCTCTAAACAGTAATTAGCATTTTAATAGTATTAATAACATTCGTGATTTTAACAATCTGAAGCTTTCTGCTTTTTATTGATGTCTTTTGTTGCAATTTTGTCTAATAGTGTGCCCAGGGTAGCAAAACATAACCAATTAGAACATTTGCCAAACAGCAAGGAATCTGGATACTTTCGATGCTGCTCAACTAAACATGAAAATGGTTGTATGAAAATAATATTTTCGGCCAGCAAGACAAGGGGATATACTGGAAATGTACGTTAGACAGTCCTTTCACTTATTATTCTGTTTTAAACCAAGGATAATTGATCAATGCTACATAACTAGTGTCAGAATAAAAAAAAAAAATTAACACTGGCATTCTCATATAGAGTCTCTTGAAGCCTGAACTCCATAAGGTTTACAGAAAGCATAAGTATACAGAAAACTGGGCAGTTTTAGTTTAACACCAGGTTGCGTTATTTGTATGGGAAGCCTTCTTTAAAACTCTAATCTTAATTAGATTCCCAGATTATATATTCTCATAATAGCTTGCATTTTTTAAATAAACTCAATATACCTATATTCATAATGATAACAAAATAATCAACATGAGTGCTCACTATGTGCTGGGCAGTAACTCAGCAACTTAACACAACTCATTGCTTTTAATCTTCACAATAACTCTTATGCTGGGGTCTATTTTATTATAGACTCTGAAGCTTAGATATGTTATTTGTCCAAGTTAAAAAGCTAGTAAATGATAGAGCAGCTATCAAACCCAGGTCCTCCTGCCTTCAGGGCCTATATCTGCCATTATATAGCCTTTCTTGTGTTGTGGCTTTTAGGGGTGGAGAGGAGGGGGTGTGGCTTTTATTTTGTTTTGTTTTGTTTTTTAAATGTCTGCCTCAGTGGTGAGGTTCTAAAATCTAAGAGAGGGAGAACTGTTTGTATTTGCTTCACTGCTTTCTCTTTCTAAATTAGAATGATGCCTGATACATAGTAAGGGATTGAGAAATCTTTTTTGAATGAATGAATGAGTGTGAATAGATTTACCTTGTCTAACTAGGTTTTCATTGGGCTTTTGTTTTCTTGTTTAGTGCGATTTAGGTCTTCTGTGTTCCTTATTCCTAATGGAAGTATACAGAAGTTTGAACATTTATTGATACTTTATCTTCTTGCTAATGTTCACTTTCCTCTAGGTATGTGTGTTTATTTACATGAATAATGTTATATCTTCTATTGCTTCCAAAAACAATGTAGGTTATTCCACTCCTTGGTGGCTTTTCTCTCTCTTATTGGTACGTGTACATGTACACGTATTTTTGTGGAAGGAAATAGGAATTGTAAGAAATGGTTTTGGAGCACTTTAAGTGCTGCTTTTACCCAAATCTGACCTAATTTTCTGAGGATATTATTATAGAAAATATAGGATATTATTATAGAAAACTTATTAAAAAGTAGCAATAGTCTGCAAATACAGAAAAATATAAGCACACATATATATTATATATATTTTTTCTCTACCTTCATATATATATATATATATTATGTAAAATATATATGTAGTCTTTTGACATGGTGGAATAGCCAGATGAATAATAGAGTTGGAGTAATTTATCCAAGAGAAAGGAAAAAAAATCAGGAAATAGAGGAATCGATGATAAATTGTAGAAAGTGAGGCTTTCCTAAATGGCGGTATGAATTCTTAGGACCTTATTAGTCTTTGATAGTCATGCTTCTCAAATTTAAGTATGAGAATCACCTTGAGAACTTGTGAAAACACAAGTGACAAGGTCCATGTAGCAAGATTCTGATTCAGTCTAGGGTGGGACTTGGTAATTTGCATCCCAAACAAGTTCTCAGGTGATGTTGCAAGACCACATTTTAAATAGCACCAAACTATATAAAAGTGCAGTAGAAATATATGAAGTATATTTGGATGGTTGTAAAGTCAGAAATTAGATGTCAAAGGAGGAGTCGTGGTCATGCTTCTGATTCTCTGCCACTTGGTGCCTCAGCTTCAGTTCAATCATCCAGTGCTAGAGGATGCCGGTCAAGCAGTGTGATGCTCTTGAATGGCCCTTCTGACGGGAAATGCAGAAGACTAAAAAAAAAAAAAATTAGAGCAACTGGCAACTCTGCCTCCAACTCTTTTATTCATTTCCTCAATTCTAGATTTGAGCACAGTTTTTATCTCGTCTTATTATTAATACACATTAAGCATGAAACAATTATGTTTTAAATATTATTTTAGCAAATGAGTATTTAATCTTTTTATTCAGTGTCCTATTCATAGTGGTTGCTTTTGCTAAGCCCTTGACACAGCCAAGCATGCTCCTTTCTTAAATTTACCAGGCTTTCTCTTATTTTTGTCTCTGTAAATTATATTACTGGGAACTTCAGGCGGAAGTGACATTTCAACCCATGGCTAAATATATATTCTGTACTTGAGTAGTGAAAATTCTAATTCAGTCCCTCCTGATACTATTACTGTATCCTAAGGTCCAAATTACAACAAAAGAAAACAAGAGTGATGTCACTCCATGCTGATTCAATCTGCATAGGGGAAAAAAGTGGACCTGGCTCTCATAATTCCTTTAGTATAACCACATCATAGCATTTACTTCTCAGCATTGACACTATTGAGTTATTGAATCTTCTACTTGACAGGAAGCTCTTTGATTAAAAAAAAAAAAAACCCTAAAATTTCTTTATTATTGTATCCTTAGCGCATAGCACAGAATTGAACCCATTGTAGGTGCTAAACCTATGTTTGCTGAATCAGACCCAACTGCTTCCTTGAAAGTCAACTTGTATTCTAACATGTTAATATTCTAACATGGGATATGAGTACCTCCAAATTCCAAGTGAAAATTTGATAGGGAAGAAATAATGAACTCCCTTTTAGATTCAAAATTTCTTGTGTTTGTTATGAAAACTTAAAAGGCATATCACTTAAAAAATATATTGAGTTCTTCACAATAATTTTCATGCACATAAAAATAAAAAATAATTTTGTTGCCTACTCAGCTAGTAATGAAAGGTTGCATAGTTCTTTTTTGATCCATTAAGATCTTCTTGGTGAACTCAGCACATACCTTTCATTGCTGTATAAAGTACTAGGCATTCTAAGTTTTACGTACTTTGCATCTAGTTTTTGCTAGCGAGGGAACTCATTAACACTTACTTCTTGTTGTGAATAAACTGCCCTGTGGGAGTATAAGAACTCCTCAATTCACAAGTTCATATTCTTCTAAGAGGTCCTTTAACCTTCTAAGTCAATTATAGCACATTAACAATTCTCTGCTTCCAAAGATATTTTTTCAGGTTATGGAGTCGTAGCTGTTTAAGGCCTGACCAGATATTCAGACTATATCACTCAGGTCTGTCTGAAACAGCAGGGTTAAATCATTTTCAATTGAGATTTAAGGTATCAGGGGAAACCCTTCACAGTTATTTTGATGACTAACATCAATATTCAAATTGATAAATGGAAATAATGAAACAGATAACAGTAATGCAATTGTTCTTTTTTATTAAGTTAATGCAGTGATTGTGAAAAGTGCAAGATCAACAGTCCAGACATCTGGAGAATTCTTTTAAAATAACAGAAAACATATTAATAGTAGCTTGGTAAGTTTCCTCTCTCTTTACAGTATGTCTCAGTCCTTTCAAGAGTGAAGTGATGAAGGATGCCGATTTTGGGATAGTGTTGTTGAATATTAATATGAGCAGTCATAAAATCACTGATAATAGATGTGGTAAGTATCATAGAGATACAGAAGTAGGCATGGTCCAAACAAATTAGCACCTGCATTCTGAATGAATCCTTCACATTTCCAGAGGGTCATAAACATGAGCCATTTCAAGTGTAGACTTATGAACAATATAAAGCAAGTTTCAGGGACTTCAGTCTGTCTTAGACAGAAAAAAGATGAGTGGGAATCTTGTTTACATTTATCCAGCAATGTGAGGAGATTAAAATTTATATGTTACCATTACCTTTAGTCACCCAGGGCCACATATTTTGACTAGTGTAACTCTAAAACTTCAGAAAATGTTTGGAATTAATATAAAAAGAAACTTCTTATGCATCAAGGCATGTGATTCATCCACTAAAATTAGATTTACAATATAATTGAAATTTTACTCTTTCAATAAAAACCAAGCAGATTTAGGGTGTGGTTACTAATTTTGAATGTTATTTATAGAACTTTCAATAATGTTTCAGTTAAACCACTTAAATCTTACAAAATACACCACAGCTGATATTGCATTGTCAGCCCCATGTTCTATCAGTAGTTGTTCTCCTTGAGATCTTACTTACAGAATCACTATTTAATTCTTTATTTTGAATTGATAAAATTGACAGAGCAATGCTGAGTGCTTTGGAGAGGGCCTAAGATGTATTAATTGTAAATTGACACCGCCATGCCAAATTTTGCCATTTATACTTGAAATTGCAACTCCAAATTGCTCATTTAAGTCATTTTAGCTTATTTTACAGACAAATGATGCCTTCTACGTAATGGAAGGTCTACATTTAGTTCTTTGAGGAATCTCTGTACTGTTTTCCATAGAGGTTTTACTAATTTACATTCCCACCAACAGCATATAAGTGTTCTTTTCTCTCTGTATGCACATCAGCATCTATTGTTTTTAGACATTTTAATAAAAACCATTCTAACAGAGGTAAGGTGATATCTCATTGTGTTCTTATTTTGCATTTCTCTTATGATTAGTAATGTTTGAGCATTTTTTTCATATGTTTGTTAGTCATTTGTCTATCCTTTTTTGAAAAGCTTCTGTTCATGTTTTTTGCCCATTTTTAAAAATGGGATTGCTTGTTTTTTTCTTGCCAGTTTGTTTAAAAGATTAGAACCCACTCCTTTCCATGTTTCCTTTATATATTTCTCACCTACAATTACCAGTTTCTAGTACAAGCTGGAATCTGCATGACTATGATATTCATTTAATAATCTTCTGCGAAAGCACCAATGTGGTGAAAATTCTCATGTGTGTTCTAATTGGTTGGTGTCAGTGCTGAATTTGTTGTTAAATATTTTGAAAATTATCATTGTAATATGATCATTGGAATTCTTAGAAGGAACACAGAGGCCATACCACTGCTCTTACTAAGTAGTGTTAGGTTGAAAAAGTAATGAAATGCAATTTTAAAAAGTAAACATATCTCTAGGTCTCTACACGGTGCACAGCTGTAGAATTGAATGAAACGGGGTGATGGTTACTGCTCCAGCAAGGCCTGGACCCATCATGCATCGATCTATATCCCATATACGCAATCAATAGTATTTCCTCAGTACAAACCAACTGTCAAGAAACCTAAGGAATAAGAATAGGAACAACAGAAATGTCTTCTAACTTATCCTCTTGATCAAGACCGTTGGACTGGTGATAAGAAGGTGCTTTGTTAACAGATCTCTCACATAATTATATCACTAACTTACCTTTTCTGTCATCAATAATGAGTCCAGCAGGACTCACGTGAATCAGTTGACTCATTTCAGTTAACTGAAAATTTCTTGAATGCATGGAAGAGTCATACATTTCCTCTGAGCTTTATCAAAGATCAAGATTTATATAATAAAATAGTTACAGATTGTATTTACCCAAAAGCTCTTCTAATTTAGCCTGTTTAAATTTTAACAAGTGTAGAAGTTATGAAAATATTTAGCTTTCTAGAAAATATTTGTATCTGGTTTTGCTCATTATAAATGTTTTAATGCAGTGTATAAATGAAACCTTAGTAAGACTCAACAGCGCTCAAGTTTCAATATATTAAGCAAGTAAGTACACGAGTGAAATAAAATTTATATTATTATTATAAAGATTCTCATTTGATAATAATACTGATATTGTTTGTCATGATAAAGAAAATGATAATTTGCCATGGTCAGAGGCATATCATAAAAGTTTCTACTGAGACATCACCATTTAAGGATGATAACATTGTTTCCTTTCCCCAATATATTTTTGAAACAGCCCATGTATTGAAGTACAGTAACTCTTGTTTTACTTGTGATGTGAGGCTGTGGTCCTCAATCCCAGGGCCACAGACCAGTACCAGTCTGTGGCGTATTAGGAACAGGGCCCCACAGCAGGAGGTGAGCAGTGGCCAGAGGGAAACTTCAATTCTGTTTACAGCTGCTCCCCATTACTCCCATCACCGCACAAACTCCACCTCCTGACAGATCAGCAGCAGCATTAGATTCTCACAGAAGGGTGAACCCTACTGTAACCTGGGTATGCGAGGGATCTAGGTTGATGCTCCTTATGAGAAATCTAATGCCTGATGATCTGAAGTGGAGCTGAGGCGGTGATACTAGCGCTGGGGAGTGGCTGCAAATACAAATTATCATTAGCAGAGAGGTGTGACAGGATAGTAAATGTAATGTGCTTGAATCATCTGAAAACCATACCCTTCCACCATGCGTGGAAATATCGTCTTCCATGAAATTGGTCCCCAGTTCCAAAAAGGTATATCGTCTTCCATGAAACTGGTCCCCAGTTCCAAAAAGGTTGGGGACCACTGGTACAGGGGTAAAAAAAAAAAAAACATGTTTATGTATTATACATATATATACAAAACATGTATAAAACATGTATGTATATAATGTATGCATATTATATATGTTATATATATAAATTCTAATCATCATTCTGCTACTATTAATGTTATATTTTCTTTGTTGATCTAGTGGGAATTTTTTTAATAATACCATGTTTATATGATAAAAATCAAATTATTTAAAAAGAGATCTGATTATGAACCTTTTAAGTGTCAAGACTTATTACTGAAATGTCATTCACTAAATAAATGACAGTGATCAATGTTGAGTCACATTGAGTCACAATGGACTCAATACTAAATCATTATTATTCCAATCAAAATGTTGTTTTAATAATGGTCTCTTTTATTTATCTTTGTCTTATTTGAGCTTTGAAATAAAGGAATCTATTTTAAAAATCTTCAGTTCTTCAGTTGGAATTATGTTATTTCTCAAGAGAGATGATAGTATTCACATATAGACATAATCATTAACAGCAATCTTGGTACTTATTCTGCCAATATGACTGCTAAAA